TGTGTCTGTGTCTGTGTCTGTGTCTGTGTCTGTGTCTGTGTCTGTGTCTGTGTCTGTGTCTGTATCCACAGGTCTGAGCAGTCTTAATATCTCTTTAGTTGAAGGATTCCATTCTGAAAGGGTTTGTTTTTGTTTTTCTGTTTAGAGAGGAGGTTGTGTTTTGTTTCTGTGATAAGAAAAAGTGAATCTGGGTTGTCTCAGAGTTGGGCCATCAGTGATTTTCCAAAACACCTGGCCCTTGTGGTGCTAAGCTGAAATTAAGCTGTTTGCTCTTCTGCTGTAGCAAGAGACCTTCCGAATCCCGGCACCAGCTTTCAAGGTGAAACCTCTCCCTGAAAGACAAGGGCTCCCTGAGCATGAATCTGAGAAGTGCTGAGGACCATAATCAGTTCTGTACTGAGTGACTGGAAAATTCAGAAAGCACTTTGATGCTTTAAAATTGCTCCACAGCACACAGGCAAGAAAAACCTGCTGTGGTAAAACACACACACACACACGAAATGAAATGAAATGAAATGTTCACAATCATTTCTCAGCCAAAAAAATCATTTCAGCCAAAAGCTGCCCTCTCTTGATTTAGGTCTCATCACTTAAATTCACATGTCCAGTGACAAACTGCAGCTTTTGAAGAATATAGAACATTCTTGTTCAATCCCCAGGCTGACCCCATGAATGTGGCAACACATCTGGAAAGTTCTCTGATGCTCCTGGCGGTCGCCTGGCTGAGAGGTGCATTAGCACCACTGGCGTGCAGCCAGTGTTCACAAAGGGAAGTATTCCATGTCACTGAAAACATTTGGAACAGATACCTGTGGGACCATAGTTCCCTAGTCTCATCTGTGCGCACAGGTGTGTTGACTGGGCCCTGGCTTACACTCTTGATAGGCATCTGGTTTGGCCTCTGGGCCTACATCCCACAATCCAACTGTGTGTGTATCCACCTTCCATCAGTGTATCACAAAGCACCCAAGACCAAGAGCTTGATGTTATGGTAGGAGTTCAGTTGGGAATCAGCTGGGTGATTCTTTGCTTCATACAGGGTCAATAGGGCTTATTTGGTGGTATCTAGCTGGCTAGCAAATAGGTTGGAAGGTCCTAGAGGGCCTTCCTCACACATAATCTTTTGAAGGAAGTCTAGGCTCACCTACATCTCTGACTCTCCATGCCTTTGTCTTTGGCCCCATACACATAACCAGCTGTCCTACTTGATGCCTAAGGGTTCCAAGAGTAGATTTAGGAGACCTAGGCTGGGAAGTCCCAGAAGCTCACTTCTACGACATCCTCGGTCAAACATCACAAAGGCTGGGCTTCTCAGGAGAGCAATACTGAAAACTTGAAACCACCTACCATTCTAGCACAGGCTGTTTTCTTCACCTGTTCATGGTTGTTTGGTGTGCCAGAAACAACCCACACTGTGTGGAAGAACAAGCCATAGTCAGTCTTCCAAACAAAACTGACCTGTGTCTTTTTCGGAACACAAAACCATAAGCATGCATTGTTTGTAAATATAAGGTTTCAGAGCAGCCTAAAGTTCTTAAGATGGTTGAAATAAACCAAGACAGGAGGATTGCTGCTAGCTCCAGGCCAATCTAAGCTACAAAGTAAGACCCAGTGCCAAAAACCAAAAAAAGGGCAAGAGTAAGAGGGAAAATGACTGAAATACATTTATTTTCCTGTTATAAGAAAGTCCAAAGGAACCAGAATTCTCAGACTTTGAGATTATACCATGACTGTCTGAATTGATCTTTCTAATAAACTCACTGTTATCTATTGATTTTAACATTTTCCTAAACAAGCCATCTTTATTGACCTAAAACATGGATGCTGGGCTAAGTGTTCTACAGTGTGACATACCCTCTGCTTTGGATGTTTCTGATAATAGAATATGTGCATTTGCAGGGTGCTTACTGCAGCCTGGCACTCCACTAAGAACTCTGGGTGAACCAGCATTTCACTCTCTCCCTGGCCTTCCCTCTCATGCAGAGGACAGACATGGAAAAGAGGACATGTCTTGCCTAAAGGTGACACAGGAATTAAATGGGAGAGCCAG